ATTGATAATGATATTTTTGTATAACTTATATATTTATGATGGATGAGATAAAGATATCGGTCTTTTTCACACTGGCGCAAACAGTCAGAGCAGCAAATGAAGCCCGCGCGGTGTGACACAACTTGGTTATGCGTGTCACATTTAAAATTTGGCAATAAAAAGTCGGGATAAGTTGTGGTCAACGCTGTGTTTAAGCGTTGAACGCTTATTATAAGCGTTGAACGCTTATTGTAAGCGTTGGCCGCTTATTTTAAGCGTTGGCGCTTATTTTAAGCGTTGGCGCTTATTTTAAGCGTTCAACTAATCAACAAACGCCTGGCGCTTGTTTTAGCAAGTCCCGGCCCTCTGGGGCGGCATCCCGAGCGGGGAAGCGCAGGCCTCAGACAGGGCGCTGGCCGCGGAGCACGAGGGGCACGCCGCGGGCGCCCCGCTGAATTCGACGCCGCGCGCAAGAAGCTCTTCCTTGCCGGCGCCGCCGGAGGGCGCGGACTGCAGCGCGTGGAGCTCGCGGCCCCCGCGGCGCGCGCCGCCTCCGGGCACCTCTGCCCGCCGCGCTGCCTGCAGCGGCTCGGCCTGGAGAGCGCGAGCGCCCTGGCCGCGGCGAGCCCCATGGGCGCGCCGCAGCCTGCCGGCGGCCACGGCGACGCTCCGGGCTGCGCTAGGAGACGACATGGCCCAAGTGGGCGACGAGGCGCTGAAAGCGACGCAGCGCGATCTGGCTACGGCCTCCCTCGCTGCGGCTGCACGCCTCGCTGCCGACGAAGCGGCCGCGGACCCTCTGGAGGCGGCTTCCCTGCGCTCCGCGGGAGGGCCTGGAGCGAGCGCCCTCCTGCAGGTGCCGACGCTGCCCTGCCACCGGCTCACCAGCGCGCAGCTCGGCATGCCTTGCGCTGCGGTGCCGGCTCAACCTCGACCTACCTGGCTGCGCGGGCCCGGGCCGACTCTGCCAACATCGGCGCCCCAACGGTCAGATTTGCGGCGAGCCGCTGGGCCCCAAGGGGCGGCGCGCGCGCGGTTGCAGAGTCCGCCGACACGACGCGGGCTGCGCGGCGCTCGCGGAGTGGTGCGAGCAGCAGGGGTGCACCGTGCAACGGGAGGCCCTGCTCCCCCACGCCGCGCCGGCCAGCCCCGAGGCGCGGATGGACCTCGTGATCCACGCGCCGCGCCTCGCCGAGCCGCTCATGGTGGACTTCGCCGCGGTGAGCGCGCTCACGCAAGATGCCCTGGCGCTCGGGGCGGCGCGGCGAGACGGCGGCGCCGCCGCGGCCGCGGCGCGGCGCAAGCGGGCGCGCTACCCGGGGGTGGCGAGCATCCCATTCGCGGTTGAGGACCACGGGCGCCTGGGCGAGGAGGCGCTGGCCTTGGCGCGGCTCCTGGCGCCGGCGGACACCGCGGAGCGCTCGCCCGCCATCCGGCGCCTGCACCAGGAGCTCGGGTGCGTGCTGCAGCGCCACGCTGCCGACGCGGTGCCGGCAGCGACGCAGGCGCAGACCTGGCGAGGGGCCGGGGCAAGCCCGGGCGCGGCCCAGGCCCAAGGCTGAGGCTGGGAGCGGACAGGAGGAAGCCGGCCCCAGGGCGGGGGGCGCCGAGGAGGAGGAGGTGGAGGAAGAGGAGGAGGAGGCTGAGGGCGGCGAGGGACCAGGAGAGGCCGGGCGGAGAGGAGACCGAGGCACCCCCGGGGCGAGAGCGCCGACGGGGCGCAGGAGCAGAAGGCCGAGGCTGGCGGCGAGGAGGAGGTGGCGAGGGAGCGCTGAGGAGGAGGAAGAGGAGGAGGAGGAGGAGGAGGAGGAGGAGGAGGAGGAGGAGGAGGAGGAGGAGGAGGAGGAGGAGGAGGAGGAGGAGGAGGGGGGGAGGGGGGGAGGAGGAGGAGGAGGAGGAGAAGCAGGCGGAGGAGGAGGAGGAGACAGAGGGCGAGGAGACGCAGGCTGCGGCCGCGGAGCCCCGGGAGCGCCGAGGAGGAGGAGGAGGAAGAGGAGATAGAGCGCGAAGAGGAACCCGAAGGGAAAGGGGCCCGGGCCGCCGCCCCCGCCGCCGCCCCCGCCGCTGCCCTCGCCGCCGCCCCCGCCACCGACCGGCTGAGGGGGCCGGTGGACGGGGGGCCCTCCCAGGGCCCCCCGCGGCCGCGCGGGCGCCGGTCCGCAGGGAGCGCTCGCCGAGTGCCCCGGGGGCCCCACCGGACTCGGGGACCCCCGGGGCCCCGCCCGGAGGAGGAGGAGGAAGAGAAGGAGGAGGAGGGACGGAGGGAGGGGGAGGAGGAGGAGGAGGAGGAGGAGGAGGCGGAGGAGGAGGAGGAGGAGGTGGAGGAGGCGGAGGAGGAGGGAGGAGGAGGAGGAGGAGGAGGAGGAGGAGGAGGGGCCGAACCCCAGGTTGCCTTGGCCGTAGGCCCCGCTCGGAAGACTCGGGCCCGATCAAGGCCTGGACGGAAGAGCCTGGTGAGTTTCTTCCCTTGGGCGCGGGCCTGCCTCTCGCGGCTGGTCGAGGTGGTCGCTCGGCGGTAGGGCCCCGAGACGGCGTCGCCGCCCAGATCCCTGTGCACGTCCACGAAGTCCTCGGGGGCCAGGTCTGAGCCAGGCTGCCGCATCAGCGCTTGGCGCAGCTCCTTGCTGGTGGCTAGCGCCTTCGTCGTGTGCTGCCGAGCGGCAGGTTGGCCTCCTTCACCTTCGCGCAGAAGGCCTCGTAGGTCGCGCCGAGCTGCTGCGCCGCCATGGTGAGCGGCCCCGTGACGTGGGCCGAGACGTCGTCCACCACGTTGAGCAGCCCGGCGATGGGCGCCGCCGCCGCCGCCAGCAGCGCCGAGAGGAGGGGGAGCTTGGCCAGCGTGGTGGCGCAGGAGCAGCAAGCGACCGCCGTGCCGTTGGCTATGACGGCCTCGCTGAGGCAGGTGCCGATGCGCACCCTCCGCGGCGCGAGGTTGGTGCAGCAGAGGGCCCTGAGCAACCCGAGGTCGAAGCTCCAGGCCTGAGCTGCAATCTTGAGCTCCGCGTGGCCGATGTGCTCGTAGTACTTGGAAAGGTCCGCGTAGAAGGAGGCGGCCTCCTCCTGAGAATGCTTGGCGTGCGCCACTTAGACGTTGTGGAGCCAGGCCGCCTTGTCACAACCTCGCGCCGGCGACGTGCCCCAGAACGGCTTCTGGTCGAGGGTGCGCTCCCACTTTGCGCACTCCTTCTAGCGGATGCGCGACCAAATTCTGGCCAGCAGCGGCATTAGCCCTGTGGCCGCTGGCCCCCGTCGGGCTTCGGCAGGAAGACCATGATGATGGTCCAAAGCTCGCCGCAGTACGACTTGCGCTCCCAAGAATTTGGAGGAGGAGGAGGAGGAGGAGGAAGAATAACAATTAAACTATTTATCCCTGTGCGACCCTGCCTAGGCGTTGGAGCATCTAGGACATCAACATCTACATCTACACCGACAGCTGCATTAACATCTACACTTGCATCTACATTTACATCTACATCAACAGCGAGACTCACATCTACATCTACACCTACACCTACATCCACACCTACATCTACATCTACACCTACATCTACATTTACATCTACACTTTCGCATTGGTGTTGTGTTTGCTTTGCATTGCCTTGCCTTTGCTGTTGCTTTTGCTGCTACGTTTGCTTTGTTGCCGTTTTTGCGTTTGCTTGATTTTGTTTTTGCTTTGCCTGCGCCCAGACACACACACACGCATGTTGTCGCACTCGCTCACCGGGTGTGCTTGAGAATGCTCCGTATCCGGTCTATTTCCGTACGACTTGGCCATCTTGGGCGCCTCTTGGGCCGTCTTGGGCGCACGTCTTGCTGTTGCCTTGCCCTTGCTCAGTTGCTGTGCTATGCTCTGCTATGCTATGCTGCGCTGTGCTGTGCTGCGCTATGCTATGCTACGCTACGCTATGCTATGCTGGGTTGTGCTCTGATATGCTGTGCTGTGCTATGCTGCGCTATGCTATGCTCTGCTGTGCTCTGCTATGCTAAAGCTCAGCGAAGCTAAGATGAAGGCAAGCTACGCTAAGATGTGCCTGAGCTAAGATGAAGCGCTAAGCTAAGATGAAATAAGCTAAGCTAAGGTGAGATAAGCAGCGCTAAGCTAAGGGAACGGGGGGGCGGGTCCTGGGGGAACCGCCCGGGGCGCATTACACTGCCCGGCCCCTTTAAGCTAAGAGAGTATGAGCCCTTCTAGGCAGAGCGTAGGTAGGGAATAATTGTAATCATAAGAATAAGAATACTAATAAGATCAATGATAATAATAGTAATAATAAGAAAAAGAAGACGACGAATAAGACGAATAAGAAGAAGAGGAAGAGGAGGAGGAGGAGGATGGGAGATGAGGAGGAGGAGGTGGACGAGGAGGAGGGATGAGGAGAAGGAGGAGGAGGAGGAGGAGGAGCAGGAGAAGGGGGAGGAGGAGGAGGAGGAGGACGAGGACGAGGACGAGGAGGAGGGGGAGGGAGGAGGGAGGAGGGAGCAGGGAGCAGGGAGGAGGGAGGAGGAGGAGGAGGAGGAGGAGGAGGAGGAGGAGGAGGAGGAGGAGGGAGACGAAAGGCCGGTCCCTGGGAAAGGCCCGGGGGCCGGAGGTCCGTTCCCTCTTTTTCAGGACTCGTTTCCAGTGTGCCAGAGGAGGCCATGCCGACGCCGATGCCATTCGCTCGCTTGGGTCTGTCCGGGTCTCGCGGGGGGGGGCCCTCGCCATGGCCGAGAGGCGCCTCGAACTCCCAGTCAGAGCGCCCCCAGAGATGGGTCTGCGGCAGCAGCGGCATCTTTGTCTGCCCCCCCCCCCGTAGATCCCATAGCTCGAGTAGGGGATCGACTGCTGAATTGATGCATTACAGATCTGATTTGTTTCGTCGAATCCACGAACACAAAACACGTAGCACGTTCCGCCGATCTAGAGCGTCCTCTGCATTTCTCATGGATCCCATGAACAAGTTCATTTTTGAGCACATCGATTATGTAGCTTGATCGCCTGCTCGAGAGAGGCCATCGCGGCCCTGGAGGCCCTCGACCGCCGCATGGACCCTGCCGTGCGGGCCGTCGTCGGAGCCGGCCTCGGCACGGCGACGCCCGGGGCGCCCCGAAAGCGGGCGCGCTTCTCCTATGTTGCAGCCTCGGGGTGCGGGGGGCCCTGCCCCGGAGCGGCACGCGGGAGCGGATCGGCCGAGCTTTGTGCGGGGGCGCGAGGATGACCCCAGAATTGATGTCTGCTTCGAATCTCCGAGAAATGCGTAGGATCGTTCCGTTGATCTATGTAGCATTCTACGCATTGCTTGTAGATTCGACCGAACAATTGACTTTGGAACACATCGATTCTGAACTTATGGCCGCGGTTCGGGGCCTCGGCAGGGTTCGATTCGATTCCTTCGATTCGATTCGATTTCGATGGAGTCCGACTCCAATTCCATTCGACTTTGGATTCCGATGTGGATTCCGATGTCTCAGTGGGGCACTACTACTCTGCCGATTTCCGCCGATTCGGCTCCTCCCGACGTGGCTGTCGATTTCCGCCGATCCGATGTTTTCAATCGCATCGCTCATTCCGCCGGCCCATATTGCGCACCGCGGTCGACTGGCTGAGAGGTCGTCGGCAATGCGGAGCTGCAGGGGGCGGCGTTTTTTTTGTTTTTTTTTTTTTGTTTTTTTTTTTCTGAGGCGTTGTGTTCGGTTTGTTTTTGTTGAAGCGGCCCCCGTGGAACAGCTTCGTGTCGATTCGTGGCGATCATCTGAGGAGGTGTCGGGGGAGTCGTTGTTTCCACGGGGCTTCTAGGTTATGCCGTCCTGGGGTTTGGGGGGCCTCTTGGGGGTATTTTTGGGGCGGCCCCACGCGCGCGAACTAGAATATTGTTAACCAAGTACCGGAGATCTTGGCACGCCCTTGGCCCGTTGGGCCGGCGAATTTCCATCGCCGATTCGACTCATCGATTCGATTCTGGGCGCGCCTGCCCTGGGCTGGGGGGGCCGATCCTTGCGGGTGCGGCGCGCGGGCGCGAAGGCTTCCCGCGCTTCGCGATAGCGCGAGGAGCGGAATACGAGGCTGGCCGATCCAGAGGCTCTCTGCGCCCACCTCCAGCGTGAGCGTGTCGACCGCAAGGAGATCAGCGTGGCCAAGAGCCAGAGCGGGCCGGGCGTGATAATCCTGCGGGCGTGGGCGACTGTGCCCGGGGTGGCAAGATGGGGCGCTCCAGCAAGGGGCGAGAAGTCGCCTTCTCTTCTTCGTCAGACGGCGGTGGAAGGCCAGCGGAGGTAAAGCAGGGAAGGCTCCACCGGCTCTGGGGCCCTCTTGGGGGGCCTCTTGGGCCGCTCTGGGGCCATCCTGGAGGTCTCTTGGGCAATCTTGGGGCGAGTTTCGGGGGCTCTTGGGCCGTCTCGTGCCGTCGGAAGGCCGACAAGAAGCAAATGCCAACACACCTAAGGCAAGTCAATGAATTTGGACTCTTCGGGCATTCCTAGATGCCCTTTTAGGGGCCTCTTGGGCCGTCTTGGAAGCCTCTTGGAGACCTCTTGGGCCATCTGGGGCCATCATGAGGCCATCTTCGGCCGTCTTAGTGGCCTCTTGGGCGGACTAGGAGGTATCTAGGACCCTCTTGGGCCGTCTTGGAGGCCACCTGGGACCATATTGGGCGACCGTGGAGGCCATCTTGGAAGCCATTTAGGGCCATCTTGGACCCATCTGGACCGGGAGAATTTTTGCAACCAGGTTTTCGGGTGGCCGGCGGGACGCGCCGAACCCCTAGGGAAGCTTTTTTTGAAACGGAACCTATCCAAAAACAAGTAGGGTTTAGGACGCCAGGCACCCCTGTGGCAGAACCTCGGGGGGCGGCGGATCGAATGGCCTTCGGCACATCCTGCCACTGTGCCTGGGCTGCAGGTCTGAGGCTACGCAGATGGCAGACGGGGTCTCGTAAGAGGCATCGCGGGGGCGTTTGGGAAGCAGTTTTTGATCCGCTTGGGGGCCTCCCGAATGCCTCTTGGGAGCTTTTGGGGAGCCTGTCGGAGCTCCCTGGGAGCGTGTTGGGGGCTTCTTGGGGCAGCCGGGGGGTGGTTTGGGGGCGAAGGCTTGAAGTTTTCGTTCTGGCTCTCCTTCTGGACCCCCTTTTGGAGCTGTCCTGGAGCGCCCCTGGGCCGTCTTGGGGGCTTCTTCAGCGGCCTTGGGGCCCTCTTGGGCCGTGTGGGAGCCCTCTTGGGGGCCTCTTGGGCCGTCTGGGGGGCGATTCAGGAGCCTTTTTTTGGTTGTCTTGGACGTTGTGAACTACAAAAGGCGGAGGTGCTGAAAATTAACGTTTTGGGCCGATTGTTGCTCTTTGAGGCCGTCTTGGGACGCCTCTTGAAGGCATCTTGGGGCGTCTTGGAGGCCGCTTGGGCCGTCTGGAGGCCAGCGCGGGCGTGTTCGATCTTTCGGTGGCTCGTGGCCTTCGTGGACCGTCCAGATGGCCTCGTAGAAGAGGGCATGTTTGTTGGATGCTTCTTGAGCGGTCCTGGGGCCCTCTTGGGTCGTCTGAGAGACGCCCAGAGCTGAAAGAAGCGTCTGATGGCTCAAAAACAAATCCAGAAACACTTTCGAGCCCCGTGGGACATTCACGGACGTGACCACTGGAAGCCCTCTTGGGGAGCTGGGTGGGGCTCGCGTCGAATGTTTTTAAGCGGCCTCTGGGGCCGTTTTGGAAGTGTCGTAGGCGTCTTGGAGCGAGATGTGGTGCGTGCGGGGGCCCTCTCGGACAGTGTTCCGCGTGCTCTCGAGGGGGTGCCCGGGGGCTTCCAGCAATCGCGGCACCGCCCGCTTTGGCAATAGTGATTTCGGCGGGCGATATTGTCGGTGTTCGCCGTGCAAGCATGGGAAAACGGGTGAGAACCCACGTTTACAGACGGCGGGCATCTTTCAAAATACGATTTGGAGCCGTCGGGGGCGTTTTGAAGCGAGATGTGGGCCGCGTCGGGGCCCTCTTGGACAACTTTCCGCATGCCCGCCAACGATTCCCTTGGGGCCCACGGCAATCGCGGCACAGCCCGCACGGGGAGTAGTGAATTCTGCGGCTGACATTTTCAGTGGTCGCCGTGCGCGCACAGGGGAACGGGCGAGAATACGCATTTAGCAGCGGCGGGCATATGTCGAAATGAGTATCGAATGGCCTTCGGCACATCGCGCCACCGCGCCTGGGCTGCGGGTCTGGGGCAACGCGGATGGCAGACGGGGTCTCGTGGGAGGTGTCCCGGGGGCGTTTGGGAAGCAGTTTTTGAGCCGTTAGGGGCCTCCCGAATGCCTCTGGGGAGCTTTTGGGGGGCTTGTTGGAGCTCACTGGGAGCGTGTTGTGAGTTCTTCCAGGCAGCCGGGGGGCGGTTTGGGGTCGAAGACTCGAAGTGTTCGTTCCGGCTCCCTTTCTGGGCCCTCTTTGGAGCTGTCTTGGAGCGCCCTTGGGCCGTCTTGGGGGCTTCTTCAGCGGCCTTTGGGCCCTCTTGGGCCGTTTGTGCAGAGGTGCCATTCAAGTGCTTCGCGTGTGGACGGGCAATGAAAGATGAGGCCTTTCCAAAAAATTGAGCGTTTTGGTTTTTCAATTCGTGTCGTGGTCGACTACTGAGCGAGTCCAGACAGGGCTGTCAGATGAAGCACGTGTCATGCACCAGGCTTCTCAGTCACAGTCAAACAAGAGTTTGGAGCCATTCATTCCCGCTGTCAATCTGGCCCTGGGGTGCAACCCAAATCGTTGTGAGCATCGCTTCTTCCTGACAGTTGCCACAGTCATTGTCAGAGCGACCAGTCCGTTCGACGCTGGGTGGCACCACTACCACACGTTTGCCTCTCGTCGCCCGGGAAACCCGCCCCCCGCCTCCGCACCAGTTGCATCAGAGTGGATTCCCCGCCAGGCGATCTCTACACCTGCCGCAGCGGCGTCGGCGCGGCGCGCACTGGGCGGGCAGCAGGGGGAGCGGCTGTGGGCGATGCTGCGGCGCTGGGCCATCGCGCGCGCCGCTCCAGCCGCTCCAGCGGGAGGTGCGGATCGGCCGGCCAGGTCTGCTCCGAAAAAGGCCGCCGCCGCGTCCGTGGCGGCCGCGGAGCCGCTCACCGAGGATGTCCGCCAGAAGGTGGTGGGTGCCCTCATGCGAACCTGCGCGAGCAGCGCTGGGCGCGCCTCGATTGGCACCTGCCGCGGCATCGAGCAAGAGCTGTTCGCGCGCCTCGGCTCCACCCCGAAGGAGTACAGGCTGCGAGCCCGCAGCCTTCTCTTCAACCTGCGGGCCACAGACGGCATCCTGCTGGGCAAAGTCCTGGCCGGAAGTCTGCCGCCGTCCGAGTTGGTCTGCTTGGGGACGGAGGAGTTGGCCAATGACGCTCTGAAGGTCGGGAGAAGATGCACACGCACCGACCCCGGCCACGCCCATCCTGGGCCCAGGATCGGTGTATATGCTTCCCCCGGGCAAGCCAGGAGGGTGTGTGCACCGATCCTGGGCCCAGGATGGGCCTGGCCTGGATGCCTAGATCGGTGCATGTGCACATGGCTGCATAGCTCTCGCTCCCTCCTGTGAAGGCCCAGCGGAAGGTGGAGAGGGAGCGCTACTTCAGGAGCGAGGTGCACCTCGCTCACGGGCTTCCCCCTCCGAGGAGGAGGCGCTCCTCGCTCCAGCTCCGCCCCGGCGACGCCGCGGAGCACGCCGCGGACGAGCCAGGCGCCGACGCCGCCGCGCAGGGCGAGCCGCGCCGGCTGCGGAGGAGGCGCTCGTTGGCCGAGCCGGGCGCGGGCCCGGGCGCCGCGCCGGGGGCGGAGGGGGCGCGCAGTGCGAAGAGGCGTCGCTCCTCGACCGGGCCGCGCGTCGGGGACGGTGGCGCTCTGCTCGCGCCAGCCGACGCCGCCAGGGCGACGGGCGCCAGCGCCCAGGCCGGCGGCGCTGTGCTCGCGCTGGCCGACGCCGCCACCGGGCCCAGCGTTGGCAACGGCGGCGGAATTAGCGACGGCAGCTCGGGCTCCGACTCGGACTCGGGCAGCCTCAGCGACAGCCTCAGCGACAGCCCCAGTGGCGGCAGCTCGGGCAGCAGCTCGGGCTCCAGCGAGTCCGCCTCGAGCGGGGGGTCGGAGGAGAGCGCGGAGTCGGACGATTCCAAGGAGAATCAGGCGGGGGCGGTGCAGCAGCTGCCAGGCGGGGGCTGTCGGCAAGTGGTGTTACCGCTGTTAGAGCGAGCGTGACCAGAAAAATCAGCGGCGGCGCGACGTCGAGAACAACTTTGTTCTATCAATACACTGTCTTTCGTTGCGCTGACACTGCTCTTGGCGTGGGCCTTGCCGTTACGACTGGACACTAGTCGAATGCATTGGGAAAGAAGTTCCGAGAGAAGTTCTGAAACGGGTTCTGAGCGGACCGCGTGGGATCCAATACGACAGGGAAGTCTGCCTAGAATTCACGTGCTCATCGTAGAGTCAGTTTGTTTGGGCTTCCTTTCTTCCTCAAGGCTCCCTACGGCAACACTCTGTCCACAGTTTTCTCTAAGCTTGATGGCGTTCTCTGCTTCATCGGTTCTTCCTCCAGAAGCTGCATGCACGATGCCGGCGGCATTCTGGCGCGGCGTTCACGACGACGACGATGGCGAGCCACCGCCGCCCGTTGTGGCCGAAAAGCGTTTTTCCCAGTTCCTCAAACAGTGTTTGCACTTATGGGGCTCTTGCTTGTGCCCATAAAGAATTGGATGGGTTCCGAGGTTTCGCCACGTTGCCCCCCGTGGGCGCCTGGTAGGCGCATTCTCTCAAAAACCAGTCTTTGATGCCGGATCGATTCCCCATATCCCCAGAGCCCGAGAGCAGGATCCGGACCTCTCCGCCCTGATTGTGTTTGAGATGCGGGAGGCCTGCCCCCCCCCCTCTTGCGCTCAAGGAGGCGGAGGCCGCCAGCCCCATCGCGCGGTCGCAGAGCATTAACAACCCGTACAAGCTGCAGACCGGCGGGGGCGGCTCGTCGGGCGGTGGGGTCGCAGCCACAGCCTGCCCCGATCCGATCGGCGGATTGCGGTGCATCTTCGGGGGTCCTTGCCTGTTGCGGTCTTTTCGTGTGCCCGACGCGGGTGTGGCGCGAATTGGACGCGGGTTCGACGCGGGCTCGTAGCAGTTGACACGTTCGACAAGGATTCGACGCGGATTCTACGCGGGTAGCGTCGCGAAGGGGCAGACAAGGTCTTCCGAAAAGGCAACGTGAGGTGGAGGCGGGGGAGGAGCCCCTCGAAGGGCAGGGGGGCCATACCCTCTTATGCCGCGTAATATTACGCGACTGAGGGTTTGTTGGCCGTCTGTCGCTTTTTGGAACACTTGCCTGGCTCCAGTGCCGTCAAGAATTGGCTCGGGATGAAAAGGCGGGCTCGGGGAACTGGTCGAGACTTCTGCATGGGCGCGCTGTGACATGTATCACGATGTCCAGAGTCTGGGGAGGAAGGCGGAGGACGGAGGACGACATGGATAACTGGTGACGGCGCGGAAGCAGAGAGGTAGAGCAGTGGCGGAGCCACGAAAAATGGTATTCATGATGACGATGACGATGACGATGGTGATGATGAAGATTGTGATTATGATGATTGTGATGTTGATGATGATGATGACGATGATGATGATAATGATGATCATGATGCTGGTCATGATGCTGATGATGGTGATGAAGGTGATGGTGATGGTGCTGGTGACGATGATGCTGATGATTATGGTGGTGGTAGTGATAGTGATGGTGATGGAGATGATGGTGATGATGATGGTGATGGTAGTGATGCTGATGATGATTATGATGATGAGGGCGATGATGGTCATGGTGATAATGGTGATGGTGATGGTGATGATAATGGTGGTGATGGAGATGATGGTGATGGTGGTAATAGTGATGATGATGGTGATGGTGGTGGTGATGGTGATGATGATGATAACGATGATGGTGATCGGGATGGGGATGGGGATTGTGATGGTGGTGGTGATTGTGATGATGATGATGCTGATGATGATGAGAAGGATGAGGAGACGGATGATGATTAGGCGCATGATGATGATGTTGTTGCTGATGATGATGATGATGATGATGATGATGACGGTGATGGTGATGGTGATCATGATCGTGGTGATGGTGGTAATGGTGATGGTGACGGTGGTGATGGTGATGAGGTGGATGACGGTACTGATGATGCTGATGACGCTGATGATGACGATGCGGATGATAGTGATATTTACGCAAGTCGATGATTCTCCTCTTGAGCCCCGGAAGTGACGCACCTTCCAGGTGAGCGGATACATGTAGCGCTCTCTTCGGCTTGGGGCGTGACGTATGTTATGGGAGGACATGTTGGAATTGGCTGGGCCCGCTGTGGCGTTCGAACGACCTCATTTTATGTGAGGTTCTTCGGGAGATGGCCAGGCCCGCTGTGGCGCTCGAGAAACCACATGTTATGGAGACGTTGAGGGACGCGGCCGGGCCCGCTGTGGTGCTCGAGTTTCCGATCTTGACATTTTGCGTGTGTTTTCATGCTCCCCGTTCTCCCTCTTCTCTCCTCCCCCCACCTCCTCCCTCCTCCCCCTCCTCCCTCCCTCTTTCCTTCTTCCGCATCCCTCTTCCCTCCTCCTCCTCCCCTATCTTCCTCCCTCCCCCCTCTGTCCCTGATTGTTCCTCTCTCTTCCCTCCTCCCGTCCCTTCTCCCTTCCTCCCCCTTCCTCGTGCCTCCTCCCTCCTCCTTTCCCTCCCCGTCCTGGGAAGACCCCCCCTGCCCCGTAAAATCATGGCTTTGATCAGCAGGTCCACAGTTCCGTGGATAGCATGATGCTTCACGTGCGGCGCTGGGTCTGGATGTTAATTATAATCGCTTCGCTCATGCCGCCGGCCCTGGAGCCCTCTTTAGGGCCTCTCGGGGACCTCTTGGGAGTCTCTTGGGGCTCCTTGGCGGCGTCTTGGGGTTCCCTAGGGCCTCTTGGGGGGCTCTTGGGGGCCTCTTGGGGCGGGAGGGGGTGTAGACGATGGTAGTGATGGTAGTGGTGGTACTGGTGGTATTGGTACTAGGGGTGGGCCTCTTGGGACGGATGATCATCATGATAAAGGTGATGGTAGTGGTGGTGATGGTGGTCATGGTCATCATCATGATCATGATGAGGTGGATGATTATGATGATGATGGTGATGATAGTGTTGGTGATGGTGGTGATCGTGTTGATGATAGTGCTGATGAGGGGGCTTACGATGACGATGCGGATGATGCTGATGATGGTGTTGGTGGTACTGGTAATATTAAGTGTGATGATGGTGATGCTGATGGTGATGGTGCTGATGATAGGTGATGCTGGGGTGGATAATGCCGATGATAAAGGAGATGGCAGTGGTGGTGATGATGGTCATGGTCATGGTCATGATCATGATAATGCGGATGATGGTGAAGATGGTGAAGGTGATGATAATTGTGGTGGTGGCGATGGTGATGGTGATGGTGACGGTGTCGATGGCTGTGATGCTGGTGGCGATGATGATGCTGCTGATGCGGATGATGATGTTGGTGTTGATGATGATGGCGATGATGATGATGTTGATGGTGATGGTGTTGGTGGTGCTGGTAATGATTATGGTGTTGATGACGATGAGGTGGATGATTATGCTGATGATGATGTGATGGTGACGATGATGGTGATGGTGACAGTGATGATGATGATGATGATGATGATGATGATGATGATGATGGCGATGGTGATGATGATGATGATGGTGATGATTGTGGTTGTGGTGATGGTGATGAAGTGGATGGTAATGATGATTGTGTCAATATGCCGACGATGATGATATGCCGACGATGACGACGATGATTGTGATGATGATCGTGATAGTATTGTTAATAACGACTGTGATGATGATCATGATAGTGGTGGTGGTGATAGTGGTGGTGATGGTGATGGTGATGGTTGTGATGGTGATGATGATGATGATGATGGGGGTAGTGATGATTTTGGGGGTGTTGATCGTAATGGTGATGGTGACGATGATGGTGCTGGTGGTACTGATGGCGGTGATGATGATGAGGTAGATGATGACTGTGATGATGGTGATGCTGATGGTGATGGTGATAATGATGATGATGGCCGATAATATTGAAGACGGTGGTGACGATGATGGTGATGATGAGGATGATAATGATGATGATGATGATGATGATGATGATGATGATGATGATGATGATGATGATGTGGTGGTCGATGTTGATGATGATGAAGATGATGATGGTGATGGTGATGGTGACGATGATGGTGATGGTGGTGATGGTGGTGATGGTAATGGCGGTGGTGATGTTGATGATGGTGATGATCATGCTGGTGATGGTAATGGTCATGGTGATGATGATGCTGATGGTGTTGATGATGACGTTGAGGCATATGGTGATGCTGCGGCGGATGATGGTGATCAGGACCATGATGATGATGGTGACGGTGGTGATGATGATGATTGTGGTGATGAGGAGGTGGGTGATGGTGATGGTGGTCATGACGGTGATGGTGGTGATTGGGAGGAGGAGAATGAGGATGTTGATGATAAACATGATGGTGTTGGTTGTGGTGCTAGTGATGGTGATGATGCATCTTGCGTCATCATGGCTACGGAAATGAATGGGGCGAGGAGGAATGATAGGATGAGGCGGAGGAGAACGGAGGAGGATGGATAAAGAGGAGGAGTAGGAAGACACCTTCGGCCATGGACATCCCCGCCGGAGAGATGACGGTGTGGTGTCCCAAGGGCATCGCTTTCGGCGAATCTCGTTCGGAAGTGAAATGGCGGCCATGTGGCAGAAATCTGTTGCCGCTGCAGTTGCTCGGAAGCCGCCGCTGCCCGCAGGTCGCGGACGCGCTCAGCCGAGCCCAGCAGTACCGCAGCGGCCGCAAGACGAAGCTGCTGCAGGAGCTGGCCCCGGGTCCCGCCGCAGGTGTTCGCGGTCCTGCCGGCTCGGTTGCATTGCAGATGGTTGCGTTCGGTCGGTTTGGTTCGGTCAGGTCGGGTGATGTGTCGTTTCTGTGCCGCTGCGCCCTTCTAGGCTGCCTGCGGCCCGTCAGCTTCGGCCGGTTCCAGTTTCGCTGTCGGTTCGGTCGGTTTTCGGTTCTGCTGTCGCTTTGGACCGACTTGGCATGGCAGATTCGCGCCGCCTCGACGTTGCGGCGATGCTGGCCCTGCAAGGACCACTATTGACAGGTCTGGGACCCACAGCGAGCAACCGAATGCGCGAAATTAATGCGAAAGGCGGGGTCGACTGGGGGCCGCCGAGCATGGGGGTCCGTCAAGGTTGAACGGTTCACGCGAGGTCAGAAAGCGGAGCCGACGTAGTCGCGTCAGGAACCAGCCCTGGGCAAGCAAAGCAGTAGGCGGAAGCATTGGAAAGATGCGGCAACGGCGGGGGACGGAAGCGGCCGATATGGGGACAGTGCGAGTGGCGACAGTGATGGACAGAACTTGTCGCCAGACCCCTCTGCTGATCCTTTTCTTCCCTTCGTGATTTGCCGTTGTGGCTCAAACCATCGGCCTGGGCCCGGATGGAAGGCGTACAGCCCCGAGAGCTTCCCTACTTCGGGCAGCCGCCTTCTCACTGGGCAGGTCTCTGCTGCTGCGCTGCCCTGGCAGGAGTGATGGGCGCAGTTGCCCTCACGAGCGGGGATGGACGCCTGCGTCTGGTCTACGGCCAGAACTTTGCACATCCACCGCCCAGGGAGCCTATGTCCCAGGGCCCCAGAGGAGCAGTGGATATGGATGTTTTCAGGCCCCGTGGGGGGCCCCAAGTATATCCACATCCACTGGCTCCTGGGGCCCAGGAGCATCGCTTCCCTTGGCTGTGAATGTGTGCAAATTCTGGCCTCGGACTGATGTGTCCGCCGGACCTGTCAGCGGCCGCTTTGTAACAGCCGCCCGCCTTGCCGGTCACCAGTGCCGTCTGCATCCCACCTTTGCTGGGACCGCGGCCGATGGCGCCAGCGGTCGCCTTGCGGCCGCTGTCCGCCTTGCAGTCCGCCAGCACATCCCGCCCTGGCTTGGGTGATCAGGCGGCGCCGTCTTTTTCCGGGCCAGGGGCCGCGTAGAGGGCCGTGAGGTTCTTTTCCACGTCTGCAACGTTCCTGGCCAGGCCCCCTGTTTCCATCAGCTGTTGTGCGGCTCTCTGTCGGAGAGCCTGTCGGAGAGCTTGCGGGACGTGGGCCGAGGTGTGCCACAAGGACGCGATCGACATGGTGCTCGCCGAAATGCGAGCGCACGGGGCGGCAAACGAGTCGAGTTGGGTGGTGGCGTTCTGCAATGCTCGTGGTCGCACGTCCCAGCCAAGATCCTTCCTGCGAAGTTGCAGCAAGCTCGGCGGCGGTAACCCGACTGGGTCCATCCGCACTACTCGCGGCTCTTCGATTTCGGAGTCGATATGGAAAGCACGATGACCAATGGCAACCATGCCTGCTGCGCTGGCATTTGGCAAACGCGCGGGGCGAAGGAGCAAGCCTACCAGCTCGTGTTCTCGAAGCGGTTGCTCTCTTTACAAGGCGTGTTTGAGACCAGATACTTGCAGAAGTTTGTCGGCGACTGCCCCATCCTTCTGAACGTGCACGCAGGTAAAGACACAACATCCACCCAAACCAGGCCCCATGGGCAGAGGGAGGCGTTCCGCGTCGCCCTGGCGCTGTCCAACCGCGTACGCGTGATGTCGGAGGATGTGCACTCCGACGAGCGGGTGGCCTGGGCAGGGCTGGCCGTCGAGTTTGCGGCCCACGCGTAAGAGGCCGTGCCCCTCCTCGAGAGGCTTCAGAGTCAGAGCAGCTTGCGCCTTCGCCAGGACCGCTCCGACGCTGGCTTCAGGGAGCGTTGTTCCAGGCCGCGCGTGCTGGAGAGTTTGGGCCTCTTGGCTGAGATGGGCAGGTTCTCTGATCAGTAGGCTGCTCCTCCTCTCCGTGGGCCCATCCCCGTCCCCCCCCCGCCCCTGGACAGCAGACTTTCTGGCGCAGCCGTGCGACGCTGAGGGCGGCAGAAGGGCGCAGCGGCACGCCCAGCGAGCATCACCAAACTACTTGGATAACTCGAGAGGAGAGAGCTGTGCGGGAGAGTTTCGGCCTGTCTCCGTCGCGCGTCCTCCGTGGCGCGGGCTGCGCTGTAGGCCTGGCTGTCTTACAGGTTGTCGCCGATGTAGCCACTTCAAACCTGCACTGGAGCAACAGCACTGCAGGTGTCAGCGGCAGCAGGAAGTCTGGCCAGTGCGATCCGCCGGCGCTGGTCGTGAGCCTGGCGTTGGTACATGATGGTGTCGAATGCAGTGGCTTGCAGCAGAAGGGGGGGTCGGCCAGTACTGCCTCCTGGCGCGCTCCGTTTTCTCCACAGCTGTTCCGCCCCTGTGATGGGAAGAGGGGACGGGCATCCTGTCCGTGTCTTCCTCGTCCTCCACGTCGCTCCTCCCCTTCCTCCTCCACCCCCTCATCGTCTCCTGGTGCCTCCTGGCGCCCAGGCTGTTCAGATTCGTTCCAGTCCGCACTGGTCCGAGGTCACAACGTACACCGCGGTAGCTGGTCGTGAACCTCAGGTCCAACATGATTGGAATTCGTTCGCGGTCGACATCCTGTTCTTGGTGTCTGTTGTCGACGGGACGTCAGGGCTTGTTGATGGAATCGTCGACATGCCGCAAGATCCATCTGAAATACTACGAAGGAGGACATGTCCATGTTCAGGCCCGACATTGTTTATTTCAACCTGGCTGATTCGAATGTCTGATGTGTGAGTGTGTGCCTCAGAGTGTTTTGAGTGGTCTGGTGTGTTTTTGCGAAGAACTTGTGGTGGAGTTCCACTTTTCAGGGGTTAGGTTTAGCATGTACATCTTTCTCTAGAGAGCAGAAGGCAGAATGACAGACATTCACGATCTGTTGCCGGGTTTGGCTCAAGGCAAAAAGGCATCCGCTCATCCTGCTGCTGCCACAGTTGGTAGCGGAGCGGGGCTGGCCATGGCCGCAGCTGGCGGCACGGCGCGCTGCTAGGCGTCACTGGCAGCAGCGTGCATGCGGCTCCATCGGTCGGGCCGGTCTCGCTCGTCGAGACGTGCAGTGTGGGATCCACGGCAGGTGCCGGCCATGCCGGCAGACGAGACGTACGCGACGCGGACTATAGACGGCTCAGCAGGCCAAGGGGACGGACCAGCTGGGCGTGAAGAAGGTCAGCAGGCGGCGGCCTCGCCCTCGGGGGAGACACTACCAGCACAGCTCACTGCCCAGGTGCAGAACTTGGTGCGCAAGTGCCTCAGCGAGCTAGTGCCAGACTTTAGCAAGGGCGGCCGCGCTGCTGGCCAGGACACGGCGTCGCAGCCTAGTGGTGGCGAGACACGGCGTCCCGAGGACGTCGACCCGTGGGAGGAGAAGGACCCTTGGAGCCAGAGGCGCAACGGCGGAGAGTCGTGGCGCGACCAGGGCGACAAGGGCGGCTGGAACGACAGCCAGTGGCAGGATTGTTCCAGGTGGCAGCAGGATAGTTGGCACTCCTCCGACGAATGGCAGATGGGATCCTGGTCGGCGCCAAACACTCGCGGGGACTTCACGGGTCCACCAGCATGGCCGGGCTGGACACACTACCGCCAGTGGAAGAAGGCCGTGCAGAGATGGAATCGGAGTACCGACGTTCCGCTCTGGCGACGATCAGAGAAGTTCTTGGCCCTATTCGACTGGGCCATGCAGTCCAAGTTCGACGACGTGCCCGAGAGTCGGCTGACCAACAACCAGTGGCCCGACACCCTCCTGAAGAGGATGGACCTCATGAGTGGAGAACGCGAGGGAGACGAACTCCGGAGAGTGGGTCGTCGGGCGCTGTACGAAGGCACGCGCGACCACAAGGAGTCGCTAACGCAGTACGTAGCCAGGCGTGACCTTCAGTTCCAAGAGGCCGAGGGCAACGACCTATGGCTCTCGGAGAAGCTCAAGGGTCTGATGCTAGAAGAAGGGGCAGGTCTCTCGGCACAGGGTCAACAGAATATGAGAACCCTGACCCAGGGTAGCCTGGACTACAAGCAGGTGGCCTGGGCGCTGCGCCAGATGGACTTCGGCGGCTCTGAGCGGCTGATGACTGGTAGGGCAGCGTCTCATCCCGTCATGGCCGCAGAAGCCGGCCAGGCGGGAGAAGCCTCAGGCTCCCTCTTCCCTCCGCCTCCTCCGGTCCCGGGCACCGAGTCGAACTATGGTGACCGGCAGGACGAGGCAGAGGACTTCGAGGACGGCTCTGAGGACGAAGACGATCCCGAGCTGAGCGAGGACGAGGTACTGGCCATCCTGGCGGAGATGGAGGATCTGGAGCTGGACGAAGACGAGGCCGAGGAGGTTTTCGTGCAGCTCGAGCAGAAGAAGAGGACGTGGAAGGAGAACAAGGACCTGAAGCGAGCGGCCAAGAGGGACCGCGAGTACTTCAGGTCCACAGGCCGCGTGGCTGGAGGTGAAGGTCACGACGGCCGTCGAGGCGGACGTCCGGGCGCGCGGCCAGCCAAGGGCCGCGGCCGAGGGGGCGGTGATCGCCGGAGACCTGAGCGTCACCAGAGGATGACGCGCGAGCAGTTGATGAAGGTGACACACTGCAAGAGGTGCCTCCAGAAGGGACACTGGTCCAGGGAGTGCCCGAACCCGCCGGCCTCGGACGACAAGCGCAGGGCTTCGGACAAGAAGAAGAACCTGGCGGGCTACACGTTCACGGGCTGCACGACGGCCGGACCGTGCCTTCCAGTGGTGACCGGCGACCAGCTGGAGACACTGAAGGAGATTCAGGAAGAGGTGAACGCGGTGTTCCTGACGACGGCGGCCAACCAGGGCCTGGTCGACCCCGGCGCCGGCAGCGACATCGTGGGCCGCATCTCGCTCAACCGGGAGTCGCAGGAGCTGGCCCGTCTCGGGCTGCGGTACGTCCAGGTGCCC